TAAGCGTGCAAATAATTGTTACAATGCATTACGAGGGAGTGAGGTGTTTACAAAAACGTTAGATAATGCTAAGATCCTTGGATAACATAATGATACATTTTTGTTTCCGGAAGGTATATGTCATTACTTTTGTACTTAATATAAAATAGCGTAATGTTTACTAATGTTAATGTTATCTCAGACTTTGTATTATTTCTTAGTACAATTAATTGTACTAAGGTCGATCTAGAATGTGTCTTATGTAATTCTGGGGATGGGGCATACAACCGTTAAGAGAGTGAGATGGTAGTTGGAAAGTATAAAAATAACATTACATAATTTATGGAAGATCCTTAGAAGTGATTCTTACAGAACCTATTTCCTTATTAAAGTAACGAAAACAAATACAAACGCCATTGAAACATAAATAAATTTAAAGACTGCATCATCTATATGGCGTGATTGCGCTGTGCACCTGCTGAGTTTTTAATGTTACGCCTTGTTCATTGATCGAACCGCTAATAATTTTTTTTAAAATATGCGCATTATACTATGCATTTTTTATTTTTTATTTTTGTTCACATCTATAATTTTTTCGAAGAGAATAAATTTATTACTTTCTTCTAAATACAGTAGTTCTTAACGATATGTAAACATTTTCTATTTACATGAAGTTTCCTCAATTTCGTTTTTGAATTGTAAGTCAGGAGATCGTCTTATACGTCACTATATATGTCATTTCCACTGAAAAATACACTGTACATGTTAGCATGCTTATGCAAGAGAATATCTCAAGTTATCAACATAAGCATAATAATCTCACCTTTAAAAACATGGCAATAAGTTATTAAAGGCTATTCGAAGATCCTAAATATAAAAGTAGATAAAATTTTTTAAACAAAAAGGCATCCTTATCCTTTCTCCCTTTTTCCTCCTCAAGAAACAGATTCTGAACCATGTCACCGTAGGAATATAATCTCTCGATTATATATCAGCAAGAGTATATGGAGCAGTCTAATTTATGTAAACAAGTGTTGTGTAACTGTTATATGAAGGGAACTACAAGGGAAATAAATTTGGCAAGTAAACCATAACTGCAGTTAATACATCATTTTAGAAATCACATCAATATTGACGCTAACGGCTGATTATATGTAGTCTTTCCACATGGCACTTGCCGATCCGAAATTAACGTAAACGTGGCGCCACCTCGTAGCTATAAAAATAACTAAATTATATAGCATGCAAAACTTATTAGATTGTATAATCTTAATAAGGATGTCAATGACATTTTACCAATTATAATTAAAATCATTATCATTTACACTTAAAAGTGTAGCTACTGTACTTTCATTTCCTAAAGTTTTATTACATAACAATAAATATTTTTATTTACTGTTATAAATATAGAAAGAAGTTACTGATTAGTAAATTTAATTAATTTTAATTAATCATCATAAGCTTAATCCTAATTAATTACTTCTATTATTTTTTTTTACTTTTTGTCAAAATATAAGCTTTTTTTTAACAAACTTTACTGTTTTGAAACATTTCAACGCCTAAGATCTCTACAATAAAAAAAAACCAATATTAGTGGATTAGTGGCACATTTCAAACTGGAGTAATTAGGGGTACTAAAAACATTTAAAACAACTTTTCTGTAATTAATTTTAAAGTTTCTTTTATTGAAGACAATAATGGACAGTTGGTATTCATTTTTTTCTATTTTATTTGCAATTTATTTCCAATTTTTTTAAAAAAAACCTTTAAACCTCTTTTTTTATGAATTTGGTGTTTTTTTCATTTATGCCAGCCCATGAACAATATATATATAAAAAGAAACAAGCATCGAAAAATATCATACAGCCAATCAGAATCAGAATTTCAACTAAGACACGTGATCTATAGTCTGCCAATCATACAAATCTAATATCGCACTCCAGCAAACCGGAAGCATCACTATTATTTCTCTCGTGCTTTCAAGAATTTATCGAATATATAAAGTACTCACATTACATTTTTAGTTAAAGTTCGTCGTAATCTGCATATATTTTGAGAGTAGTTATATATTTATTAAATATTTTCTTAATTACTTTCGTGTTTAGTGTTTGACATGAAAATAATTTCTAGTTCGGAAGACAGCATATCCAATTCCGGTGATTCTTTCTGTATTTTAAAATTTACTTTCNATTTTGATATATATTTTTTTAATTTAAAAAACGACTTTATTGGAGATTGGGGGTGATAAGGTGTGGCCATTCCACCATATACATTACTACGGTGCATTTACACAATTAAATTCTGAATATGTTTATTGGGTTTTGAGGTAGAGAGGATAGTAGAAGTGTAGCCAACCCTGAAACATCATTAAAATACATTGTCATCGAACTTAGTTATGTCATCAAAGCTTCGGTCTTTTCTGTCTTATTAATAATTAGAAGTAGATAAAATTTGAGTTGTAAGATTTGAGGATATGATACAATAGAAATTAAATAAAAGCATTTAATAAACATAAACTTGAATATAATCATTTTATCTCATTTTTTTATTACTGATGCAAAATCAATATAAATAAAATAAAATATGAAAACTACTGAATTATTCATTGTAAAGTGTCTATAATGAAAAACATTAATCAACATATTAGACCAAAATTACTATTATTATTTTTAATTTTTTACTGGAGAATATTCAAATGTTAATATTATTGCATGAAAAGTGTTATGAATCGAAGTTTCGTTCTTCATCCCTCGTCCATTTCAATCTTTCCGTAATGAAATCTAAATTCATTCATCATTCTGAATGGCTTAGGTTACCAGCTGCCGTTCAGGAAACCCGACTTTAGTTGGGTGTCTTCATGGATAGGTTAACTTGGGGCCATATTCTGATCACTGTCTCTCGTCTCTCGTCTCTCACAAGCCGGTCGCTGATTGGCTAATCATTTGGATTAGTCAATCAGCGACCGACTTGAGAGAGACGAGAGACCAGAGACAGTGACCAGAATACGGCCCTTGGTCCTGTCCCTCATTACTCGGTCGCTCCTATTATGGGTCTGGCTGAACCTGTAATCAGTATGGAAAAGGTTCTCTTAATGTTCATAAGATAATGAGTTGAAAAAATATCTTACCGTAATGAAAAAGTTGAGTCTACAAAAGCGGTTTTATATAATATAATTTACTTTTAGTAATATACACAATGTGGAAAAATTCAACCCATCGAAACAAAATCTTCGTGGCTTTAGTTTCAAATTAATCAAAATTTCTATTCAGTTTGTTTCGCTCGAAAGCGCAGTCGTCAATTCGAGCGCTTTCTATCAAAGAATATTCTATTGGAAAATAGTTCGATGTAAGAAAATGCATTTTCCAGTTGCAATACAATCAAAAAATTTTATAGAAAAATTTAATTCGGACCAAAAAAACAAGTTTATATTTCACTTATGCTAAATATGTTAATATGTTACATGAACCGAATACTTTATACTCTTCAGTTCATGTAAATTTTAAAATTTACAGCATTAAAAACAAATCATAATTTTTTCAAATTTGTTCCTAATGAAATCATTTCTAAATCTTTTCAGATAAATTTTAGATTTTTTTATTTTCGTATTTGAATAATTCTTTGCAAATGCACTATATATAATTGTTTGGCATCATTATGTATTAATTATTGCATATAATTTGAAGATTGCTTTCAGGAAATGTATTTTAAAAACACTACTAAGTAAATTACAGACATTTTTGTAAATTTAACCGATTAATTGTTAATAGCTTAGAAAAGAAGTTCTGAAAAACACTTTTTTCTTCTTCACTATTTTCAGTCTTGCGCTGTTCCAAATGAAGTCATCAATGAGGTTCATAGTCTGATCAACAAATCTTATAGGTGGATGACCTCAATACTGCTTGTCAGCGTTAGTCTCTCAAGATTATCATGTCTGACGATGAAACTAAAGAAACCCGGAGTGTGTTTCTGGATGCGAGAGGGAAAATTTTCACAAATAACAATTCATGTGCATGTGAATGAAGTAAACATTTAAAAAAAATTAATTTAAGCATTCGAATTTTGAAATTAGGAATTCCAAATTTCAATTGCATCTTATTATTTTATAGTGTTGACACGTTCAGTATCGTGCATATCAAACTATCAGCATATATTCTGATAATCTCTGATCATAGTGGTTGGTTCAAAATTAGTTAATCAAGTGGATAAGATTAAGTTTATAAAGAATCGAATTTCCCATTTTAAAAATTTAATACACTCGAAAAACTGTCTCGAAATGAAAAAGTTACGTATTTATTAACATTACAAAAGGCATATAAGAGTAAAGTTTACCATCCATATTATTTTCTAATTAATTTTAATTAACTTTAAATTTTAAGGCATTAATTAGAAAATTATAATTTAGAATTAAAATTAAAATTTTGTATCTAACGCTTTAGAAATGGTTGTAATAACAGAGCAAGAGAAAGAGCGTAGAGAAATTGGAGAAATAGCATCTGGAGAAACATAGGAAAAGGAAAGTATAATAGTCAACCGTAGAAAGGATATAATAGACGGATAGAAGAGAATGAGTGACCCGAGCAGAATGCTTATTCTCGAATTATTCTTGTAGCAACGTTAACATTTTGAGCTCATTGTCATGTAATAAGAACAAATTTTATGATTGGTCTCATTAAACGAGTTCGTACCAGACAACTCTTCCAACATGTTTCTGTTGCTACACCAATGCTGGAGACTAAATATCTTGCCTAATCTCCAGTTATGTCAGAAGCAATACAAACACATTCAGATGCCACGTGGTACAAACTCATTCAATGAGACCATTCATCGAATGAGTTTGTACCATGCGACACCGTTAGAAAATTCGTGAGGATAATCATATAAATAGAAATTAGGCAATTGAAACAGAAAGAGATGCATAAATTTATTATTATAAATTTTTACTTTAAAATTTTGAATATTGTATAAGATGTTTACATTACTAAAGATTTATTATTTTTATTTAAAACCTTGACATTATATAACTATTTTGTAGCATATCCGAATACGTGAAATCTAGCAATATAGAAAAATTTATCAATTGTTTCGTAATATTGTGATACTTCGTTGAATTTTGCTCGTTCTATTTCTTTTCCAATATCTCTGGTGATGTGACAATTTGCTGCAAATATCTTCCAGAATGACTCAATTATTTTAAATGGGATTAAGATAGACATACTGTTAGGAGGAATTTGATGTTCTACATAATAGAAACGACCTCCCTAAATTGAAAATAATTCATTTACTATCAAAGTTTTAATAGATTTTAAAAATACACTATGCAATTAATATCACTTACTTTCTTTAAAACACGCTTCACTTCGTGTAAAACCTTCTGCACATTATTAACACTACAAAGTACGTGAGTAGATACGACTACATCAACACTATCGTCTTTAACTTCTTTCATGTCTTCAGCTTCAGAACGAATAAACAAATCCAATTTTACGTTTGGAAATTTATTCTTGTTCTCTTGAAAATATTTTTGATAACTATCATTAGGATCCACGCAAATTAATGATGTCTTCTGTGGATAGTACTTAAAGTTTCTGCCACCTCCAGAGCCAATTTCCAAAATTTTGACTTGTCCTTCTCTCAGTCTCTCAGGATCCTTTGATTTAAACGTTTTTAAACTTTCAAATAATTTTTCTTTATATTCAGTAAGCAATTTTTCGTGCTTTGATTTAAATATTTTCTCCGTAAGGAAAGCGATCCATTTTTCTTGAGTCTTCCTGGATATCTTCAAAATAAGTAGAAACGCAGCTAAAATCGTTATTAACAACAATATAATATATTGAATTATTAAAAATATAAATGAAATCATTATAATGAAGAGAATTTAACGCAGCTGTCTCGAGTTTTCCATGTTTTATTTAGTTTAAAGATTAAACGTACAGTAACCTTATCTAAAGTAAATAAAACAGGAAATTTATCTGAATATTTGATAAAAATATATAAAATTGCTTTATTTTTTAAAAATTTCAACTTGATAAATAATATTTAAAAACTGAATTTTAAAAAATTGTAGACAAATTATTATACTTCTTTTACGTTTATTATTGTTTTCGAGTATATTATTTTTGAAAATATGATTTATGGTTGTTCATTTTACTTATTTCAGAAAAAAATGAATGCTCAAGTAAAAATAAAATATTTAAATGTTTACATTTTGTAATTTTTTTTTCGTCAATCTATGCCAATGTTTCTCAACATATTCTCTTAAAAACTGTTCATAAATAAATTTGTTTAATTAATGCTTTTTTCTAATCGTTCTCATCGAAATTTAAAATAACATACTTTATATTTATTCTTATTTATTCTCAATATTTAAAGTTATATTTAAAGTATTTATTTGTTTATTTGTTATACGGGATGTTTAAAATTAAATTGACTGTACTCAGAGTGATGTAAAGAAGAAGGTACTCGATGGATCACTGTGAAAATTGGTGGTTGCCTTAATATTAATAAGAACATGGTGAAGAGAATTTGCAAATACAAAAATAGTTAGTTTTCATGTCAACAAATAGCGTTGGTATGTTAAAACATGTTACATCTAATTTCTTCTGATAACATCTAAGTTCTTGACGACAGTAAAGACGTCACACTTTATAGTGTGACGTCTTTCCTGTAAGAACCATGGATATCTTCTGAAGGACAGAGCTTTGCTAGTGAATCATTTTACCAAAATGGCAGTAATGCCTTCGTCAACTTTCGGTTATCGAGTTATTTGAAAACCCAAATTTACGAAGTAACGTTCAATTACTTGCTGAAGGCAAGAATAGCACAGCATGTTTCAGCCATTCTCAAGTCATATGTCAAGCAACTGTGGATCACGCCATATTACGTTTTCAGCACATTTTGCATACTAATGGTTCAAACCTGAGAATCCTGCTTCATAAAATAAAGGATATGCTTGTTAAACTTGTTATTTTCTTTATTTTAGCGCATCAACACCAGCTGTTGGCCTAACAACTAACTTTTTTATTCGTAAATGCGCTTTCTTGTGTTCTTTAAAGGTAACCACCAATTTTCACTGTGATCCGTCGAGTAGATTTTTCTCTACATCGTTCTGCATACTATCAGTTTCCTTATAATCCACTGATATATACAGGGTGACCCAGGTAAAAATGGCCCAACTCACTGTAAACGATACAAATGAATTTAGGAAAAGGATACTCGTTAGAAATTTTATTATAAAATTACATAAACACATAGAAACTTATGGAAGATGCTGAAATTAATGTCATGGAAGGAAAGCATTCGCAGGAGCAATGGATATACGACTGAATTTCCTTCATATTTCTGATATTTTTGATGTTATTTCTGATATATTTGATGTATATTTCTGATGTTGGTTTCATACAGTTTTCCTTCTAAATATCTCCTATGAAATTTACATCACTAATGTTTCATCATTCTCAGTCGGGCCGATTTTAAGTGGGACACCCTGTCAATATGTCCATTATCTGATGTCTGATAGTGATACTTATATTTATGAATGTAGATAGCACAATCAAACATTACGGTGTAATTCATTTTGTTTATTCATTTATTTATGTACCTAAGAATTGACTTTTACTTCCTCGAGAGAGCAATATCACTCTCGTTGAGAAACATTGTTCTACACAGACTGATGAGCAAACGCATTCATGAAATTCAAAATTAATGTTGAGAATACTCAATATCGCGAAGATTAGGTTTTTAACTCCAGAGGTCTTATTTGATATCCAGCATAGGTTCTGCCATGACTACCAAAAAATCTGATTATGGATAGAGTCATTTTTAATTATTGGATCTGGTTTATAATGAAAAATCTTGCATTAATTAATTACAAATACTGATTTTCCATTTAATATTTATGGGTAAGCAAGGCCACTCCTAGAATGTGCAGGGCAATGGGCAAAAGTCGATATTATTGAAAACATATAATTGAAAACAAATAACCTTACTTCTCTACTTCAAGCACCATTTAGGTTTGGCTGAAATTTGTTCTAAATATATATATAAACGAAAAACATCGAAAAATGTCACACATAGACAATTAGAATCAGAGTTCATCTATGACACGTGATCAATACTCTATCAGTCATACAAATCTAACATTGCACTTTAGTAAACCGGAAGTGCCGTCATTATTTCTCTCTCGCTTCCAAAATTTCATTGAAGATTTAGAGTATACATCACATTTTGAGTTAAAAGTTCGTCGTAATCTTAATATATTCTGACAGTTGTTATATCAATATTTATTAAATATTTAAGTACTGTAATTACATCCGTGTTTACGGTTGTTTAAGATGAAAATGATTTCTGTTCCCAATGCGTATAACAATGGGGGCATATCCGGTTCTGTTATAGTGAGGTTCTAGTTTAGTTTTTAAAATTTACTCTCTTAATTATTTAAAATCATTTTTTTTATTTAAAATTTTTACATTCCATAATATTTATCCCAAGTATCCGTCTAGCGCTTAGTCAATCAACGCAATTAGTTTTACATTGGTGTTTGTTTTAAATAGCCCATAGGACAGGGATGGCAAGCCTTCTTTGAGTCTTCGTCCCGTATAGTGAGCATAAATATCTTTAAAAATATTTATGCGTGCCGAAGTTATAGACTTAGAATAATGATATTTAAATAAATGGAGTAAAATGCTTTAATTGGAATAAATGTAAATAAAATTATTGAAAAAGGATAATTAGATGATAAACCGATATCGTATGAAATGTTACGTGCCAGATGATTTCTCCCGACGTGCCACTTTGGGCATGCTTGCATAGGTTCGCCATCCTTGCCATTGGGCTGTCCACAAATTACGTGACGCAGATATTCATGGGTGGGTATGCAGGTAATCGTTATAATGCGTTACAAGGAGATGAGAGGATGTTTACAAAAGGTTATGTAATGCTACGTCTCAATCCTTGTGTGACAGAATGATTTATTTTTGTTTTGAAACAGTTACATAGAGAACCTTGCTGTTTATACCACTTCGTACGTAATTAATAAAGTAAAGTAACGTTTAGTATCCCATATTGTGTTTTCCTTAGTAGAATTATGTAACTCCATCTAGGGTGTGCGTTACGTAATTTTGGAGGTGAGCATTTGCGACGCCTTACCGAGCATTAAAAAGGATGGGATGGTAACTGAAAAATATAAAAATAACGTTATATAATTTACGGACGATCCCATACTGACTCCTAAAGATTCTTATAATTATTTAACTATAACGAAAGCAAATACAATCTCCATTAAAACATAAAAGTAATTTAATACAGACTATACAGTACTTGCGGTGTGATTGCTCCATGCACCTGCTAGTTTTTTCAGATGCTGTTAACCACGCACGTCGATCCATAGGGAACAAAGGTAACTTATCTTCTCGATGTTTCTGTATTGGCACATTGTCTTCTCCTCCAAGCTATATTTTTATATTTTTATTTTATACCATACTACATAATTAGGAGTAAAAAACGAGTACACTTTAACAATGTACTTTTCATATCTAGGCTCGAGCCCCAATATATGTTTACAGATCGACGTCGATGCTATTAACAATAATAAGATGATGATTAGGCATTACGAAACAAAATAGACTTGTATGTTTACTCTCTTAAAATTTACTATGAAATACAATTATTTCAAAAACTTGATTTATTTTTTTGTCTTTTGTTCTGTAAAATCATTAATTATATCACCGTAATTTAGTTTTAAATAGTTTACTGTTTAATTTTTATGAACAGTAATGTCAAATTACAGAGACAATCTTTCTTGGATCATAGAAGTTCTTATGTAAATTTTTTTTAATTAGAAAAACTGCGCTCTGCAAAAGCAGTAGCAAGTAGAAGACTTAATTAGATTCTTAAAGCTATAAAAAAGAAAATTTGGATTCGAATTTTTAATTTATGTATCACACTTAAAATGCTCAAGCATTTGCATTTTAAGTGTTGCTACTAAATTTGCACTTTGGCAAGTTTAGTAGCAACTCGCCGACGAATTTACTTGCTGCTATTAAATTCGCTCAATGTAACTACTTCGGCTAGTAAATTCGCTTTTGATGATTTACCCGAGCGAGTAAAGTTGGAGACCGGCCTACCTTTGTCACTAATCGCTCTCTGGTTTGGAAACTCGTTCTATGTAATCATGTGCAGCGAGTGACAAAGAGAGTAGATTTCTACGAAAGTAATCTACAAGAATAATAATAGTTGTTTCTGTTCTGAAAAATATTTGAAGAGGAGATAGCGTAAAGAAACAGGAAAAAAGAATATGAATAAAAGACTGAATATCAAAAGGAGAGAAATATGGTGTAACCTGTAATGTATACAAAATGATTATTTTTGTTAAGAATCTCACTACTTTTGGATTAAGTTTGCCCTATCGCCATTACGTCGATTAAACTGGCTAAAAATTGCTGCTCAATTATTCTGCAAGGTTTAAGTAATAGTAATATAAATGCATATTGGGAATTATGCCACCACTGGAAACGCTGCAGCATTGCATACCGTGCTATGTTACTACTGAGTAATAAGTGAATTGTAAGAGAATGTATTAGCCAAGTGTAACTCTGCTACAGTTGTGTGTTTGTAAACTCGTCCACTCTCGCGTTTAGATGTTCGCGAGTAGCTACTAGTCTAAACGCATCCACTGTAATTGAACCAAAACATTGATTTGTTTGTAAGTTTGCGTGATGAATTTTTGCAGCAAATGTTATAAATATTTTAATTTCAATAAAGAAATCGCTTTCATTTATATCTCGATGTTTTTCAGTTTTTTCATACAGTAATATCTAAATTCATATAGCATTTTATCAATTCTTTTATAGTGTTACGCTAATAATTGCATCGTATTGC